AATCAAACAAAGCCCCGAGTAAGGAAACCCATTGTCGCCGCCTCCGCGATGGCTCCCCATTTCGCCAGCTATTGTTCCCCTTGAAGTTTGACTTGCTGTGTGGAAGGATGCGAGCAGCTGTTTGCGCATTCCCCTGATGTTTTATTGAAAAATAATTGAATCGTCAGTTCGGGGCTCTCTGATAAAATGTTTCCTCGTTAGCGCTGGGCCCTGTTGTGTTTATAAACTACGTTTCCCCGTAAAACGTGATGGCGACCTAAGCCGTTCCCTCCAGAATAAAACCCTCGGCGGAGGGACGAAGGCACGTCCCTTCTGCGCTGAAGGGGAGAGGAAAACCATGCAAACAGCAGGGAAAAAAGGAAAAAAAAAAAATCCAGTACTGAGACAAAAGAAATTAAACTCTCTTTATTGCCAGGCTCAATTTCCAACCTGTTCTTTTGTTTGGTGCAGTTGACTTTGCAGGAAAGGGGGGTGGTGGCCGGAGCACCCTCATGGGCTGCTGCTTGCCCGGCATGACCGGGGTGAGCAGCACGGCTACCTGGGGACGCCGTCCCACGCTGGGGACTGAGGGACCTGCCATGAAAAATTGGATATAAAAAGAGAAGTTTAGCTTAAGTAAAGCCCAGTGACACATCCCCATGTTGTGTCTGTGCTACTGTGTTACAGCGAACTGAACGGAGGGTACGCATTCACCCCAGGAGCCCTGCTTTTATCTGGTTTTGCTTTATGCACCCGTTTATCAAATAATGTTTACAGCACTTTAGAAATAGCAACGTCAGCATTACACTTTCTAGAGGAGATTACACTCTTGCTTTCCCCATCCCCAAGCATATGCTGGGAGAATTAGTGATGCTCTGATTTGAGCACCCAGCACGGAGACAGGACTCACTCCTCTCCCAAGCACCCGATGTCCATAAAAACATCCCCCGTATCTCATATGGTCGCTGACTCTATTTCCAGGGCAATTGTTAACAGTAACCAGCTTTGAATGCTTGAATGAGCCAAACTGGTATTTATGATTACTGATCTCTTTCTTTTTAAATTATTTTTGCTTGTCCAGGGAAGTGCTAACCCTAAATCTCTAATATTTTGTTGGATTTCTATAACTCGGGAATCAAGATTCTTTTAGGAGCCAGTTCTCCTATTATGTGGCCTCGTAAATGATTTCTGGAAGCAAGAATAGCTCGTATAAAACCATAACTGCAAACACTGATCTGGAGTCCAGATTACCAGACCCTCTGTATACAGCATCTTTCAGTCATTTCTGAAGTGTACAGAAGATTTTTGTCTAAGGCTTCTTTCCTCAGCTGGTTTCCCATAAAATCCGTTCAACATCCTGGGCCATATCTCCGAGATACTCAAAAACCTGGGGATTTAGCGATATTTAAAATCCAGCTGGAATTTTTGGATGAAGACCACGGTCAACAGCTTCACGTCTCTGCCATCACGTAACCCCGGCAGCGATTGGAGCGTTCATCTGCGCTTGGGACCGGCCTTTCCTGGGGCCCAGCCCGGAGAATGATCTCCTCCGAGAACAAAAGGCCATTACAAACACCACCACCTTCTGCTCTCGGGGTTAGGCATACTCTGACCCCCGTTAGCATAAACGAAGGGCAATCTGTCTGCGTAAATTTATGCCCCTTACACATAATGCGCTGTGTATATGTGTATATATTACATTTCTATGTGCATGTGTGCACGCATTCATGTCTTTTTTTTTAAGCCAAACCGTCCATGGAGCAGAGTGAGGTTTAAGGGGCTGCAGTTTTTCCACCAGTGCTGCCCAGCGCAGCTCCACGGCGTGGGGGAAGAGGAGCTTGCGCCGTTGCACAGCCCAGCTGTCACCGCCATGGCTGCATCCCGCCCGCGTACACGCTTCTCCCTCTGGGGACAGGGGGAGAAAACAAACAGGCGACAGATGTGAGCCGCGTTGTTTAACGTGGTGCTGGAAGGTGCCTGGTGCCGCGGGGATGCGCTCGCTGGGAGAGGCTGCCCTGAGCAGAAGGGGCTGCTCAACTGCCGCCTTCTCTGACGCGCATCTTCCATGGTGGTGACAGGAGCTGATACAATAAAGAATGCCTGCTTTCTAAAACTCCAAATTGAGTCTTAGAGAGTTTCTGTGTTGCCAACTTAAGGCATCAGAGCGGTCATTAGTCTCACCCGGCCTCGCCATTTCTGCTTCCTCACTAAAAATTCAAATTAACTGCGAGGCAGCAGGTTGGCTTCGCTGCTGGGAAATCTGTACTGCAGCTCCTTGCCTTTGCACAGAAGAAGCAATCCCAGCATGTGAAAAAGGGCTCTGTGCACAGCAAGGTGCCAACTTAATGTAGAAATAGGTATTTTTAAAATAACATGGCCTGGTCTAAGAGCCTTGCACACATCACAGCAAGGTGCCAACTTAATGCAGAAATAGGTATTTTAAAATAACATGGCCTGGTCTAAGAGCCTCGCACACATCTCTGGAGGCATGGGCCTCCTTCCCAGGAGCCCTGAGGAGACTATAGAATCATAGAATGGTTAGAGTCGGAAAGGACCTTAAAGATCATCAAGTTCCAACCCCCCGCCCATGGACACCTCCCACCAGGCCAGGTTGCTCCAAGCCCCATCCAGCCTGGCCTTGAACCCCTCCAGGGATGGGGCAGCCACAGCTTCTCTGGGCAACCTGTTCCAGTGCCTCACCACCCTCACAGAAAAGAATTTCTTTCTGGTATCTAACCTAAATATCCCTTCTTTCAATTTAAAACCATTACACCTCGTCTGATTGCTACACTCCCTCATAAAGAGTCCCTCCCCATCTCTCCTGTAGGCCCCCTTTAGGTACTGGAAGGCTGTTATAAGGTCTCCCCAGAGCCTTCTCTTCTCCAGGCTGAACCCCCCCAATTCTCTCACCCTGTCCTCACAGCAGAGGGGCTGCATCCCTCGGAACAGCTTCTTGGTCTCCTCTGGACCCATTCCAACAGGTCAATATCCTTCCTGTGTGGGCCCGGCTGCCGCCGCTGTGGTGGGGCTTCGGGTGCAGTCGCCCGCGGGGAACCAGGCCGGGGTGTCAGGCAGCGCCGGGGTGCCTTCCCGCGGCCCTGCGGCCCCGGCCTCACCGGTGCGGCCCAGGCAGTGCGGGGCTGGGCCCGGGCCGCGCCGCCCTGCCCTGCCCTGCCCTCCTCCGCCGGGGCGGCGGCGTGGCCTCGCCCACGGCTCTGTGTGAGCGTCTCGTACAAATCCTTTCCTTTCTCCCCTTTTAACCTTTTTTTTTTTTTTAATTATTAAAATTATTTATAAAAACCTTCCATTCGTTTTCCGGCTTTTTTTCCTCTGTGTTTATCTGTGCGTGTGTCTGTATCTATGTGTGTGTGTGTGTGCACTCGCTTTGCTCTGTCTTTCAGTTATTTCAGTTCGGTGTAAAATAGCCGGGTTCCCGCTTTGTAGCATCTGGGTTTTCAGGTCTGTGTTGCCGTAGGACCTGCCTCGCTAACGCTGTGTCGCTGGGAAGTTAAAGTGTTTGCGCTGGAAGTCTGTGCGCATTTATGGGAATACTTGTCTTATTTCGTTAAAGCCTCCTTTTAGCAGAAGCTAAAAGACTACTATTTATTTGCTTTTTCCCACCCTTTCACAAACACAGAGATGTCATAACCCTTTAAATACCCTTCTCCTTAAGAATCCTTTCCTCAGTCTTTCCCACTTCCAGCTGCAGCAACTCTCCTAATTTTCCCAGAAGAGTGAGATGCATTTTTGCTTCCCTTGGAAATGCATAAATGAGCTCTCTATGTACGAATCGCAGCTGAGTTCCCCCCAGCTAGCGCATTACAGAAGGACCTTATCTTGCAATCTACATTTCCCACTGTAACAAAGCGTGACCTTGTTTTCATTACATAAAAAAATGTTTTTCATATAATTGCTGTGACTTGTTCTCTCACATGAATCTCGGCTCACGTTAATAATCGCTGCTTCAATTTTCAGATAACTATTTTTTGTGAGCTGGTGGAAGAACACCAACAGAGTGCTCTTTAGGAGAGTTGCTGCATATAAGTAATGCTGCCGAGGGTTAAACAAGGGTTCTGTTGTGCTCTTCCATTGCAGAGCCAAGAAAACCTAATGTGGCATTTTTGGATATTGAATTTAAAGGAACTTAGTAATGTCTGGATGTATCTTTGTTGATATTTAGGTGGGGATTATTTATTTTAAATAGTTCTCTTTATTATTGTGGTTTCCAAAGGATGTGAGACACCAGTAAGTTTCCAGAAAGTAACTTCATAAGAAAATTTTTCTGAAGTAATCTACGTTTCAGTTAGAAGAACATTTTGTCACAATTATTTGCCCTTTGAAAATGAGTTGGTTTTCAGTTGTGAGTTGAGTTTTTTAAGGGTTTCCTCATTGTTAAAACTCGGGCCACCCTGTGCAGTCTAGAGGCAAGAGCTCACACTATCTGCTTCTGTGTCCTGTTTATTATCCGTGTCCCTACTCAACATGATAAAGTTTTATAATCTTCTAAGACTGGATTTGGCCTGTGGTCTCCCAGCATCAGGAAAACTAATTTATGTTTGTAAAGCCCAAGATTTTCACAGGTGTTCTTTTTCCAGAAAAGGGATGTAGGTGAGATGCTTGCTGAGGCTTGTAAGTTGCATTTGTAAAAAATGAATTATTATTGTTTTTACGAGCCTAAGGAGATTGGGTACCTGGACCCAATTAAAATCTCATTTTCTTCAGGTGTGAGGACCAGCTCCTGTATTTGCCAGCCTCTGTGCAGTTTGCTTACACTTGATGTCTTGTGCTTGCAGAGGCCATCACTTAGTTATCTGAGCCTGGTCCCCCAGTATGTTCTGAATGTCAGAAGAGGGATGTTCATCAGGTTGATCAGTGGAGGAAGATTGTGTGTTTATTTATTTATTTTTACTTTAACTTGTCATCTTCTCCCAGTCATGTCCCTCCTAGGAGGGAAGGCTTGGTAGTAAGTAGATCAAGAAAGGGTTGCCAGGGCTTGAGGACCTGCTGGCTCTGCAGCTGACATGCTGTGTGACCTCCTGTGAGTCGTTTCCTTGCTCTGTTTACAAGTCCAAACAGGGGAGGGGGAGTATTTATTCCAGAAGGGTGCTACGTTTTTTCACATTTTGTGAAATGCCTTGAGACTTCTGGCTCAAAGGTGTTGGGGAGGAGCGATGCTGGCTGTGATACTGGTTGAGTTGAAGCAGGGCCGGTAGCTGAAGGGAGAGGGGAGGTGTGAGGCCAGAGGCTGCCTGGTGGGTTGTGTGTGTGTTGGGACAGGAGCTGTTTTCCTCTTCTGTTGGGACGATGCCTGGCACCGTGGGGTTCTGGCCCGTGACGGAGCCTCCTGTATGTGTTGGCGATGGGAGATGGCAACTTCCCCTGCGAACTTGTGGTTTGCGACCGGGGAAAGAAAGACAAAGGGAATCCTGTGCTAAATATAGTCTGTGTCATTTGTTTTCTCTGTTGGGGCATCTATGTAAATCGCCTCTTTTGTGTTGCCTGCCTTTTGACAATAAAGCAAAATCTCAGTGGTTCATTGTTTTTGTTTCAGAGGTGGTGCAGAACTCTTGTTTGATGGTGTCAAAAAGCATCAGGTGACTTTGCCCTGTCAACCAGAGCCTTGTGAGTATCAGAACCTGTTGGATAACTTGAAAGAATGACAGCAAGTGAAACAAAGCCAGTTTGTACAGCAGTTTCGTTAGTTTCGTTGCAACAAGAATCCATGTATTTTAAAAGCGCTTTCAGACACGCTGTGGGTAATACAGCTTGGCAGACGATGGTTAGTCCCCAAAGTAAATACCAAGCAGAAATAGTCTGAGTGTATTTGCCAGCCTCTGCGTAGTTTGCTTACACTTGATGTCTTGTGCTTGCAGAGGCCATCACTTAGTTATCTGAGCCTGGTCCCCCAGTATGTTCTGAATGTCAGAAGAGGGATGTTCATCAGGTTGATCAGTGGAGGAAGATTGTGTGTTTATTTATTTATTTTTACTTTAACTTGTCATCTTCTCCCAGTCATGTCCCTCCTAGGAGGGAAGGCTTGGTAGTAAGTAGATCAAGAAAGGGTTGCCAGGGCTTGAGGACCTTCTGGCTCTGCAGCTGACATGCTGTGTGACCTCCTGTGAGTCGTTTCCTTGCTCTGTTTACAAGTCCAAACAGGGGAGGGGGAGTATTTATTCCAGAAGGGTGCTACGTTTTTTCACATTTTGTGAAATGCCTTGAGACTTCTGGCTCAAAGGTGTTGGGGAGGAGCGATGCTGGCTGTGATACTGGTTGAGTTGAAGCGGGGCCGGTAGCTGAAGGGAGAGGGGAGGTGTGAGGCCAGAGGCTGCCTGGTGGTTTGTGTGTGTGTTGGGACAGGAGCTGTTTTCCTCTTCTGTTGGGACGATGCCTGGCACCGTGGGGTTCTGGCCCGTGACGGAGCCTCCTGTATGTGTTGGCGATGGGAGATGGCAACTTCCCCTGCGAACTTGTGGTTTGCGACCGGGGAAAGAAAGACAAAGGGAATCCTGTGCTAAATATAGTCTGTGTCATTTGTTTTCTCTGTTGGGGCATCTATGTAAATCGCCTCTTTTGTGTTGCCTGCCTTTTGACAATAAAGCAAAATCTCAGTGGTTCATTGTTTTTGTTTCAGAGGTGGTGCAGAACTCTTGTTTGATGGTGTCAAAAAGCATCAGGTGACTTTGCCCTGTCAACCAGAGCCTTGTGAGTATCAGAACCTGTTGGATAACTTGAAAGAATGACAGCAAGTGAAACAAAGCCAGTTTGTACAGCAGTTTCGTTAGTTTCGTTGCAACAAGAATCCATGTATTTTAAAAGCGCTTTCAGACACGCTGTGGATAATACAGGATGGTTAGTCCTCAAAGTAAATACCAAGCAGAAATAGTCTGAGCATCCTTCCTGTCGTCTAAGCATTTGTCAATTGAGGCCTTCCTTAAGACTTTTGCCCTCTTCCTCCTGGATAGACAACAGTCTCTGAGTGTTTCCATCAAGTCTACATTTGTCTTGCTTGATACGTGAAGCCACCAATAACCTCCTCTCTCCCTTGTTTTGCCTTGCCTGTCCTGAGGTTTCCAAGAGGCATATATATGTGTGTGTATATGTGCATGTGCATATACATGTAGTGTATAGATATGTGGGGGTGTGTTTAGCACTGTAACAGAAATGTATTTTATCTACTCATTTGATGTTCAAATCTATGTAATCGTTTTCTATTAACTATGCAGTTGAAAGTGGCAAAGCTAATGCTCACGTGTGATGCTGGACATCCTGCCTAGGGCCTTCCCTACAGTAAAAAAGAGAATGCTGTTAAGATAAAGACTTGAGTATCCCGGTGATAAACAGTCATAATCTCTGGTTTGTGATTTGGAGTATCGATACTGAGAAGGGCTGTACCAACTCTCTCCTTTCTCCTTTATGTGTGTGCATACTTCAGCTGCAACGTAATTTTGCCACAGGTATGTTTTGAATTCTTCCGGCTTTATGCTTTATGCTATTTGAGAGTGGGATTATAAACTGAAATAATGCAAAGCATCAGGGAATGTTAACAACTAATATCTCATGAATGGCTAATACCATAATCTATGTGCTGCGAACGTTCAGGCCTGAAATCTTCTTGCTGTGCCTGGAAGTAATTAGAGATTGGTAGAAGCGCTTTTGATGCTTGGACATAAGTACGTGTAATTCAAATATAATAGGAGCAGTGGAATAGTGTGTTATCTTGTGGTTAAGGACAGGGACTCGGGATCCAGAAACATGACCTGATGCTGATTTGCTTCAGGAGTTTAGTCGTGCTGTTTAACTTTCCCCTGTTGCTAGTGAAGCAGTAGTGATACTTTCATGTATCACAAGAGAGTTCAGCATGAAATTCCAGCACTGTTAAAGCACTTAAGATCCTTAAATGGAATATAGTAAGGACATGCCAAAATACTAATTTAGTTGGTTTATAAACTTGGGGGCTAGAGCATAATTTCCTCAGTGTTCTGTAAATTTAAAATACCCAATGATATCCACTGCATTGATGGTGTTCAAACCATATCAGATGCTCGAGAAGAAGGGGTTATTACACGAGGTGTTTATTTCTGCCAGGGGAAGGGCGGAGATTAAGAATAATTCTTCTAGCCCAACGGTTGTCAGTGGCCTAATCCATTCCCACTTGAAATTGCCAGGAAGACTTCTACAGACTTCAGGAGGAGCTGGATTTATCCTAAAGGATAAATCTTTCCCTGAAGCCCTGGCTCAGTCTCGGGGTTCAAACTCATGATCTCCAGTGATTCATTCCAGATTCATTTAACACAGTATTGCTTCCAGCTTTTCATGCTGCCTTGTTTTTCAGGTGCTGCTATCCCTGCAACAAGAGTGGCAGGATGGACAGTGTGCCCACTTGCCAGCCCCGCCCTGGTTTGCAACCTGCTATTTTCATGTGCATTAAGTGACAGAGGTTTCAGTTTTGGGGCAGGTTGTGGTTTGCAGCAGCTGAGGAGCAGACACTGAATTACAAGGCTTCTGCTATGGTGACATTCAGAGCCAGCAGGGATGGAGTAGGCAGACATACAGTTAACACCTGACAGTAAGGGATCACTGGAGACACCCCTGAGGCTTCTGCTATGGTGACATTCAGAGTCAGCAGGGATGGAGTAGGCAGACATACAGCTGACAGACATACAGCTGACAGTAAGGGATCACTGGAGACACCCCTTATAATATTTCTGGATGAAAATTATGTTGTAGAAGTGAGGAATCAGTAGAAATGGATCAGAAACACGTGAATAAGAAATTTGGTAAATTCTTGTAACTTTTTATTATTCCCAATGCCTTGTATTTTCCTCACTCACATTAAGAAAGTTTAATTCACCTATCTCTGGGTAAATAAAGATATAGGTAGTATGTTCCCTGCTGACCTCGTGCAGCCAGAATTGCAAGGATGAGAGAAAAACCAGCTCAGTGGTACTCGGTGCGTACTTCCTGTTGCTTTCCTTACCCCAAATGTCCATCACGTAATACTCTGGGGAAAGATCTGTAGTATGAACGCTGCGTGAAGACCTGCACTTCTAACCCCATTTTAACTGATTTCATTAGCCGTCAAGCTTATTTTTGGCCATCTTGGCCTCTCTTACCCACTCTTCCTTTCTTTCTAGGTTATTTTTGTCTTTGTCCTCTTTTTTGCGGAGCAGCTGCTTCTCTCTGGGACATTGGACACAGCGATATTTTAATTTTTTAGGCATTTTTATAGATATCCTAGAGGTGAGGGGAGATGGAGAATTATATGAAGAAAAGTACCTACAAGTATTTATGCAAATAAAACAAGCTGTGCTCCATAGTTGACAAGGGCAGCGTTCTCTGAATGATAATAATGTTGTTTGGACAAATTCTTAGCTCATCATTTCCTTTTTCCTGGTAACAGGCACCAGGTGGAAAGTAGGTGGGTTCCAGATCCAGGTAACTTTTTCAAGAAAATTTGATTCTCTGTCCTTTTCTGATGCCTGGAGATGGGCTCCTGGAGGGATTAGGAAAGACAGGAGGCAGAAAGCTGCAAATGGGCCAAGAACAAGCCACGAGGGGTAGAGCCGTGCGGTGGGACCTATTTTTATTATCCAGGGGGCTTTTTGTATCCTAATGTTGGTAAAACAGCAGTTCCAAAGCGGAGCTGTCTTAGCCTGTGTGTTAGAAGTTGCTGCCGAGAAGGAACTTAAAAAGGTGTGGTCTGTCTGTAGAGGCAGAGGGATTTAGATAAGCCAGACTTTGTGCAGGACTGTGTAATCTTCTGGAGCGATGGCAGAAAGAAGACCTCAGGTTAAACAGGAACCTTGTCCCAAATCGCTGGCTATTTTGATGATCCCATTGATAATGCTGTTAAAGGATCTAAAGGCATTACTGCCCCGTTGGCTTATTCTGCATAAAAACAGTGTGTGTGGGAGAAGGCAGCTGGGGGAATAACGATATTTGTCACACGGAGAGAGGATTAAATTGGCAGGGAAATCAACTTTATTTTCAAGCATCTAAGAGGCTATTAGAGACAATGGAGCATAAAAGAGAGAAACCCTAAATTAAAAACTGAAAATGTATTTGGCAGCCTCCTCCTGAAACAAGCCACAGTAATTTAACCAAGTGCTTCAGTAATCAAATAGATCATTGTGTGACTGCTCTGCAAGTGATGCCGGAGCTCCTTCCTCCATCTCACAGTGGTGGGTTTGTCTATGGCCATGCCACTTGCGTGGACGCTGCGGGAAGGGTAGGAAGCCACTGGCATTGTTTAACCCCTGGAGTTGGTGCAGTTTTAGCTCAGCAGCGTCGTGCTGATGAAGAGTGTTTACAAAACCCCTCTGCTGTGCTCCCTACTGGACGTTGTATCCGAAGGTTGGGGCTGTTTGTGAAGTCTCTGGCAGTTGTGCTGCAGGCTGCTCAGCAGCAGGTCCAGGCCTTCCAATTCCAGCTTCTCCCGTGGTTTCAGTGATGGGACTTGTGTTTTTGGAGCAGCAGTGATCGCTCGGACCTTCTGGGGTAATCAAGAATTCACTGTGTGTTTTGGCACTTACAAGCCTGGAAGGATAAATTTTTAATCAGTGTGTTTTGGTAATTGTTTGTGGCTTCCCTTTACCAAAACCCCGGGGAAAAAGCCTGTTGCT